AAAATAATGCACGTTTTTGAAATATGGTGCGCCAAGTCTTGGCACACCATATTTCAAAATGTGCCATTTTTTTTGCAGTTCTGATACTCTCTTGAAAAGTTCTAGAGCTCTTTGCAACAATTTTCAATAGTTCTGGTCATTAAATACAAAAAAATAGGCTTTTAAAAAAAGGTGCGCTAAGTTCTCGCAGGTGTTTCGAGTCTCCGCTAAACTAATAAACCGGGATTCGAACCGAGTTGTTTCGAGTCCCTAATGTTATTCATATTATTATAAACTGCCAATTCTAATAAGATAAATTATGGGATAGATAATGCCTTTCGTGTCACCTTGATATTTTTAGTGATTGCCGAGAAATATCCGAAAAATGCAATTAGTAGTAAAATGGCTGTCAGCGAGAGCCATTTGAAAAGTACGCACGCTTCCACGGCTTATTTGACGAACCGTTATTAATGATAAAATGTGGTGCCATCTTCACAGACATATATTATTATAGTATTAGTATTATTGTAAACTCTGAATTCCAACAGGATATATTGTGGAAAACGTTGTTTTCTTTAAATTACATTGATATCTTTTGTGACTGCCGAGAAATAAGCAAAAATATAAATTAGCAAAGATATTAATATAAGCGGCATATTTAAACTTGTATATTTATTTGTTTTATATTGTCCAGTTTCCAAATCCTTTTTACTTACAAAATTACGCAGAACGCAGCAAGAAAGACGAGACTAATGAGAGATGATCTAGCTTTGCGATAAGTTCGCCGCTAGCTCGCTTTGTGCGTACGTCTCGCGGTTTGCTCATCAGTGATGGACAAAAACAGAGCGATTGGATGTCTGTTCTTTTCTAACTTACTATTATTGTACGAAAGTACAACGGGCACGAACTAGGCGCATTTTATCGTTACCACCTCGAAAATGTGCCTAACAAACGTAGTAAAGGCGCACTTTGTTAGATGGCGTCTCGAAAATGTGTCTAGCTCTGGCCATTAAAATCAAGCTGGTGACCGCTTTCAGGCTTCTCTCTGGTAACCTCTAATCTGATATTCCTTCGATTTTAATTTTACGCGACAATGCGATGTCAGTGTTCCGCCACGTGTCCAATGAGATAAATCCCAGACAACATAATGTCTAAAATCGGGACGTAAGACATCTTAAAGATAATCTTTAAGACGCCTTAAAGACATTTATACATAAATCGTCTGAAAGACATCTTAGATGATCTCGGAGATATCTCATGTCCCGATTTTGGACATTATGTTGTCTGGAATGAATCTCAAGGGTTATGTCGTACTAAATACGCAATATAAGCACGGAAAAAGAGTACGGTTAACCCACGCATAAATCTGGTTGTGTTAAGCAAATTCAGCAGTAGAATACGGACACTGCCCACGCAACACAACCGCTAAAATCGAGACACAAGAGGTCTTAAAGATGTTTAGAGATATATTCCAACGTCTGAGAGACATTTTATATCCCGATTTTAGATGTAGTGTTGTGTGAATGAGAAAATGAAATTTATTTGTAGGATACACAGTTTATTTCTGTGAAGTTAATTTTATTCTTGTGAAAAAATTTTATGTCTACGAGAATAAATTGTATATCATAAATAAATCTTCAAATATTTTTTCTGAGTGGAACGACTAATTGTGCGATTAGTACAATCACAGAGCACAATTGTCGAATTACAGTGACGATACTTAGTTGCCTCTACGAGAATATATCCGTGGTAAATATCACTCTTACCGACTTTTAGTTGTCAATCATGCGCGTAACTATATTGATGTGGTTAATATATCAAAGTACTGAGTCCTATCACATAACCGTCACACAAAAGATAACTACGACGATGCAGCTATGCAGCTAAATCTTTCTAGTGCACCACATCTTTTTTTCCGTGTATAAATGATCGCCGCGAATAACAATTTTGTAAGATTAATTGAATGATCGATCGAGATCATTTAGTAAAGAGGATCACTGCTATACTTTTATGATCGCTGATATAAAGCTAAAATCACCTCTCATCGAAAATAGCGAATCTCAAGAAATTAAAAGCCTTTTAAGAAACTATAAATATATACTTACTGCGCAGATGAAAAAACTGGTAAATTTTTCTATATATTACTTTTCGGCGCACTACGAAAAGATCAAATAGAGGAGGATATATTTTCATAACCGCATGCATAATAATAATATGTCACTCACTTCGCGTACGCAAAGTTCTTGTAAACAATAAAGAAAACCCGTTTATAGTAGATATTTTATTTCCAACTTAGGAACTGAAATGCCCATATAATAAAAAATATTTATATATTGTAATAATTATTATTATTAAAGTGCGAAAACGAGGGTTACGCTAAAATCGCTCTGCTAAGTATACAAAATGAAGAGAAAACTCGCAAAAACGAAAACAATCGTAGACTTTTGCTTGGAAACATTCTTTCTCTCTGTAAGATTCTCTCGCGGCTCATTCACTCGTCGATAGGCATGGGATCAAGTCCGACGTGCGTATTCAGTAAATCTCAGTCAATTCGATACACTTAAGTATTACGTCATCGAAGTCGAATAGCACTTACGGAAATCGCGGACGTATTTCGTATACAAAGAAGTTACTGTAATAAAGAACGGGGTCAAATTGTACACCAAACGATCTCGACTTGCGCCTGAAATGTGCTTGAATCTTATACGAACTTACTTTGAAACATGTCGTAGCAACAGAGGGAGGAATGCCGTCGATACCTCGAGAAGGACTTTCTCGAGCTTTTTACGACGTATACCCTCGACACCTTCTCAAGTGTACTCGATTGTACTACAAATATTCCAAAATACAATCGCCTTTTGAAACGCTTTGTACAAAGTTCATTTGTGTGACAAAGTTTTCGATTACACATAGAGACGCATGTTCCAAAGTACTTTACAAGAGATTCGAACACTTTATAGATGGACTGTGCGCTGGGCACTGATCGATTAAAATTTCCCTTCACTAAAATAACCGGCAAATCAGTGATAAAAGTTAGTCGATCATCGCATATAAAATCACAAATAATTTCATAAATTGATGACATTAATCCGACTCTCATGTATGGCAGATTATACACTGATTAATATTAATTACACTGATTAATATTTAATTACACTGATTAATAATTAATTTCATTAACCGATGAAATTATTCGTATGATTACGTATGTGACGATTGATCGAATTTCGATTATTGATTCGTCGATTGTTCCGGTCGAAGAAAATTCTTATCGATTAACGCCGTAGACAGTGCAGCTGTACTAGTTTAGAACGTACTCGATTCCATTCCTATCCGTCAAACTCGCTTATTCCGTTCACACGCACTTACGCACGCACACACACTAAAAAAAAAGACTCGAGAATTATAAAACAACCGCGGTAACAGAATAAACGAAAAATTATATAAAATTTCCACATGGAATTTTGCACATTGTGTTATTATTCTTTTATTTTTCTCTTAGATTCGCATCTACCTTTTTTTCTTAGTCTTTCTAAACTCGTTAAGGGGCTCGTCAAAAGCATATACAAATGACCGTCGCCATTGTTCGATTTCGTAGTCGCTATCTAATCAGTTTTTTTATGGCACGTATTCTCGTACAAGCCCTTCTCCTTGCCGGAGATTCGACAATATCCGCACCTGCCGTCTCGTTCTCTTTCTTCGCTACCCCCTCCGTCGCTGTACGAACCCCTGCGATATTACAACGAATCGCAACCATTACGGACCCGTATTCGACTTCTCTTTCTCTTTTTTTTTATTTTATTTTATTTTTATACACACGCTAGAACCCGGGGAGTCCTTCGTCTTTATCTCGTTTTTTACTTTTTCTTTAATATACGGTTATCAGACTTGGACGTGAAGATCTATATTAAGATCGTAGTTCTTTCGGGCGATCTCGCGCCAAAAGTCCACTGGTACCCAACAACGCCCACTAGAAAATTTCTTCTTCTTTTTTACGAGAGAGACTTACAATAGAATTTTTTCGTCGCATAGCACCATTTTGAAGAGCAAAATTCACGACGCACTCAACTTGCGCCGGAAGTTCCGCCGCGATCTTTACAAAAATAACAACAGTGGTGGCATTGTCTCGCATCGTCTCGTTAAGCCGGCGCTCGCACGCCATAAATCGATAATTCTGTCTTAGACTCGTTGAATACCACTGGAGAGAGGCTGGCTATCAATCAGCCGCGGTCTCGCAATCGGCGCCGAAACGCCTATCTCGTTATCACGAAAGAACCATCCGAAGAAACGTGAACAATTCATACTCTTGAAAGACATCAATATAGAAATCTGATTTACTTGTTTTTTTCTCTCCTCGCCAAAACGATCCGAGACGGATCTTTCTCTTGTACGTCTTAGGGTTACGAATGCTTTAACGTTACTCTCATATTTATTATTTTTCTTCTTTTGATCAGAGTATCCTAAAACGATCAAATTCTATCAATATGTCTACATTTAACATGTATATACCGTCGGTAAATTTTTTACTTCCTGTTTCCGAAGTATTGTGGCCCGCGATGTTCGATCACATTCGGCAGCGATTGCGTAACAATCAAGCCGACTGCGTGAATTTCCGTGAAAATGAAACGGAAAAGTAATATACCGCATACACACTCTCTTTCTTTCTTTCTTTCTTTCTCATTCTCGCGTCAGCTCGGTGCTAGTTAGGAAACGAAAGATTGTCACAAACATCTTCCGAGCGAAAAGAGACCGTCAGAAATATTCTGCAAAATATCGTTTCGTCTCTCGTAAGGAAACAGCGATACGACAATCGTTGGCCACACGAGCAAGACAGCCTGTACACTTACTAAACTTAGCTCTTTACGTAATGTTGAAAGATATAATGCAGGATTTATCTAACTTAATGGTTTACGTGATTATATACACTATATACATGGTCGCTGCTATAACATTGCATGCGTGCGCTTATCGTTAGAAGTGACTACAGATCGGTGTGTATGTGTGTGATTGTGTGTATGATTGTTGTATCCTTTTTTATTATTATAATGAAAATTCTCTAGCTTATACGGTACATAGGGTTCTCGCGAGCGTTACTACATAAGACTTTACCATATTACACAGTAAACAATTATACGTTCCGATGATCCGCCGGTCCAGCGTTCGCCGTTTTCCCTTCCTCGCGCCGGATTTATCACGTCGTACATCGAATAAAAAACAGAAATGCGCCTTGTGAAATATCAACAGAAAATAAACACATTGCGACGACCTCGCGACAATTGATCTATGCGGGAGCACGTATCCGGGAGCGTTAAGCGAAAAGGAAAAAAGAAACGACAACCCAAAGAGCCTAACGGAATGCCCGAACCTCGAGTGCAGCAGCGAAAATGCAAATCTCCAAATCAGATTACCTCGCTTAGCTCGGCCGATTGCAACTTAAAAACTCTCAACAAACGCGCGCGCGTAAACGGTTTTAATAATAAAATAAACACGTAAGAATAACGATTTCTTTTTTCCTCGTGGCGTAATTCCACTTATTACTGCACCTCCTCGAACAGTAACACACGGTCGCATTTTTATCACAGGGTATTTTTTTTTTCTCTTAATATCGATAATCATTCGGAATCTCGTCTCCGATGAAGAATGAACGAAACAATTGTACATGCTCTGCTGGACTAACGTATTATTGCAACTCGTCGAGTGCGCTCACGCGCGCGTAAAACACGCATTACGTAGACAACGTGACGTAAACTCTGAAGACACATCATCTTCTGAAAAGCCGCCAGGCCGTCGTATAATTCCATTTTATCTTCGCGCGAAAGGACTAATCTTCGCTCTGTCGTGGACGAACACTGTGAATAACTTTGTCGCCGTTGTTGCTCAACCAGTTAGAAACGACGTGTGGTCGAATGGAGCGGTGTGACGTCGTCGTGTCAAGTCAGGTAATCTCATGCGTATCGCCGTCCTCACCATGTGACTAAACACTACTATCATCGGCGTCGATCGCTAAGAATTCTCGCTCTGTGAATCCTACGACAGCGAGAAAATCCGACGGATCCCTTTCTCTAATGACACACAAGAGCGTCCCTCTCGCTATGCCGGAGACCCTACATGAGATCCCATTGTCTATTTAGACGTCGGGGCGGCCGGCTGATGCTGCCCCGTCATCCCCAGTCTTGGTTGCGAGGAAGCGAGTAGTTCCTTGTAATACGCGCTGAATTCCGGCGGTAGAAACGACGTCGCGGCCGTGGGCGGAATCGGCGGCGGAAAGAGGCCCGCGTTGTAGAACGCGGAGTAGTACATGGGGTCCAGGATCGGTAGGAACTTGCCGGGCGTGTTTGGCAGTTGCGGCAGGAAAGCGGGATTGTTTTGCGGCACCGCCGGCACGAAGCCGGACGGTATGTTAGGTACACTGTGTCGTCGGCCGATCTCGCTGTGCCTAGGTTCTTGCTGTTGTTGTTGCTGTTGCTGCGCCGCCACCAGGGTCTTCTCACCCTCACTGATCCTGCGCTGCTGCTCCCTGCCGACCTCCGCCGCGGCTTTCCTCCTGTCAATACTCATCTGCTGCTGCATCGTCGTGTTCATTCTGGGAAACGGATTGCCGCTGTTCAGGTGATTCAGGTTAGGTACATTCGGTATGACAGGGTGGATCGGTTTTCTCGGAGTGTACGGTGAGACTGGTTCACTCCTCACTGTGTACTTTCCATTCATTTGCGGCGATGGCGGCGGCGGCGGCAACGGTTGTTGCTGTTGTCTCCTCTGCGCTCCGCTACTGCTATGCATCGAGCTACTTTTATTAGGTGGACTCGGTATCTGCGCGTGAGACGGCGTACTCAGATGGTTGTTCTTCTGCTTGGGATTCACAAGTGTGATCTCGAGGTTATTCGAAGCTATAGTTCGACTGTCGATGACGTTCTGGTAGGCGGGGAAGGGCACTCGCTTCGGACAGTCCACGGGTTTGTCAACAAGTTTGTTGCTCGCGGGTGAACTCCGCACTTCCAAATTCAACGGATTAGGCCTCGGCACTACAGGTACTCTAACTATTTCTAAACTGGGCCTGGGGAAGGTTGGTTTTTCGCTAAATTTCTGCGTCAGATCAAGAATACCACCGGTATCATTGTTGCCGCTCGACTGTAGGTGCTGCAGGCGTTGTTGCTGCTGTAGATGCGAGTGCGGATGCTGATGCGATGAACGATACTTTGGTGGGACGAAGATATCCTTCGGATTCCCGTAAACCGTCCTTTCATTATGCACAAATATCGACCTCGACTGCGTGACCTTTGGTGGCGGCAGCCTGCCGTTCGGCACATGCGGCGGTATGAAGCGATTGTTCGCGGCCGTGAAGTTCGACGGCGGCGGGACGTTTGCGTTCGCGTACAGCTGCAGTAGCGCGGCGTTGTTCGAGCTACCGAGATTTATCACCCGACTGTTCACCATGTTGTTGTTTATTATGCTGTTGTTATTGTTATTGTGATGAGCCGGTTGTTGCTTGGGTACCGCCGCGGACAGCAGTCGCGAATGATGGTGACTCGCGTTATGATGATGTTCATGCGGCGATGGCAGCATGTGGCCGATGTCGGGTGTCACGGTGACGGATATCAGCTTAGGAATGGAGTTGGGCGTGATCGGCAACGGATACGAGATCGGTGACTTCTCCTCGGATGATTTCATCGTGGCCGGTGGCGGTTGCTGCGCGATGTTACTCTGAATTACGCTCGGTCGCGCGTCCAAATCGACGGCTGTGACCTCGAGGCCGCCTTCGCGCAAAATCTCGAGTTTGCGTTTCTTGAAGCTAGGAATGATAATCTTGTCCCTGCTCGTGTCGTTCTCCGTCTCGAGATCGATAACCTCGGGCGACCTGGACGGCGGCACCACCATCGTCTTCTCGCCGAACAATGGTATGTTCTCCTTGCCTTGCGCCAGCAGGGTGGTCTGCTTGGGATCCAGCTTGATCTCCTTCATGTCCTTCTCCGGCGGTGGTGTCAGCGTCACGACCGCCGACGCGTTCGTCGCTACGGTGGTTACAGGCAGGCCCGGTGGCGAACACGATGGTGGAACTTGCTGGGATATCAGAGGACTGTTGAGCTGCCTTTCTAAAACGCTCTGACTACCGTTCGTGCCGTTCGTGGGTGTTGTGGAGGGTGTACTGCTAGGTGTCGAGATAGAAGTGTTGGAGGATGGCGGTGGACTTGGCAGTTGGCTAGCTTGCTGGCTCGAGGGCGTCGCGCTATTGGCGATCATGGTGTTGAGCGACTTGAGGCGTTCCGGCTTCACTCGCACGCTACGCAAGGAGGACGTCTTGTTGCCGGCCTCGGTCTTGGGCTTCTCGCTCGAGGAGAGCAAAGTCTGCAAATGCGAGACACGCGTCACAACAAATTCGTGTTGAAACTCACAACAATCCTCGTGGTTAATTGATCCAACCGGATTACTCACCGTCGCTGCTGACATTATCGGCTGCAGGGGTGGTGTTGTGGTCGCGGGAATCGCTTCTACAAGTGTAATTGTCTCCGATGGGTATGGGTCGTTAGATTCTTCCTTGATGTCTGGATCCTCCGACACACACGTGGTCTTGGTACGTCGCCCATGATTCAGTTTCACTTTTATATCTTCGCCTCTCTGATACCTCTCGTAGGGCAATAACAACCTGTAAAGAGCTCTCGTTAGCGCACAGTCACACATTTTAGTCAAAAGCCGTTAAAATAATGACGAAAAATGACAACCAAGTGTCGCGGAAGTACTAACGCTCAAGGAAAAAGCGAGAAAGTTCCACGCTATAATATTCTCACCTCTCGTAGTGTCTGCGCGTAATGGTCGCGGCGCTGGTTGAACCCGTATTGCCGCCGATGTCGTCGTAGATCGTTTTCCAAAGACGACCGGCGCTGACGGAGTCGTAACCTCCGAGCATCTGCACCTTCGTATAAAACAGGAATAGATCGACTGTGGACAGAAAGAGAGACGCCGTTAGGGTGACGTACGGCCTCGTAAAAACACGTGGTGCGATCGCGACTGCGATTTCGGGAGAAGGAAACCCTGCTGTGTGTTAGCTCTCTGCAAGTCTGACGGGCTGTGGCGCCGTTTATCGCGAGCACGAAAATTCGCGGGACCGGTAAGAGGACGTATTCTGAGTGTCCCCCTACGGCCATCATAGGCGCGGATACCAAGAGAAAGAAGTTAAGGACGAGATACTGACTCTGCCTGTAGCCCAGCAGTGGCATCTTTCCGACCGGCGTACCCCGAGAGTTCATGAAACTCTGCACGTCGGTGATGAACTTCTTCTCCTCCGCGCTGGTGTTCCTTTCGCTCCGGCGTACCGCGGATGAGGGTGGTCTACCCACCGCGGGTATCACCAGGCTGGTGCTCGCCGACATGCTCTTCGAGGTCGACGCGACCGAGGCTTCGCTCTCGTTGCTCGACTCGCCCGGCGATGCGCTGCGCTTTTTGCGTTTCCTTCGTGGTCTACCTTTCAACTTCGGTGCTGCAAATTCAGACAATAGGCGTATTAATCATCGTTGAGACTCGCATCTTTGATTGCGCGTCTCATAAGAAAAGGTACCTTGCTATCTCACTCTGATACCTCTTTGATATGTTGTAGAGTATGGAAAAATGAGACATATAGTACGTATTTCTTTTTATCGACGAAAAAATATGTCCAAGGGGTGAAATAAGACCTCGAAGTTGAGAGTGCAAACAACTTATTTTATAATTTCCTATAGAAATTTTCCTGTAGAAATAAACGCCAAAATATTTCTTTTAATAAGAGTTGCAAGATATATTTTATGCAAGATTATTATTGTGTAATTTTTATAAAAGTTTTAATGTTTGATGCGGGTTTACCTTCATAAAATTGACAAGAAAATCTTGCATAAAATATATCATTATTCTTATTAAAAAAAATATTTTGGCGTTTATTTCATTTAAATTAGACAGCTTTTATAGAAAACTATAAAATAAGGTACATCTTCAACTTTGAGACCTGATTTCACCTCCTAGGTATGTATTCTCACCGATAAAAAAAATATGTGTCTTATTTTTCCATACTCTATAACATATCAAAGAGATACCCGAATTGGAATGGGACAATGAAATACCTTTCTTTATCAGTACATTGAGAGAAGAAAAAAGTTAATCTAACCTAACCAAAATTATAGTTTTTTGGCTATATTTTCTTGTGATTCTAGCAAAAAAAAGTATCAATACAGGGTAAATAAGATTATTATCGACAATTAATAGAAAAATGATTTTCACGATTATAATTCTTTTACTATGCAATCAGTTACAAGTACTAAGTATTCTTTTCTCATTGCACGTTCGTATTTACAAGTGGGTAACCATACATTTTTTAGAGAGATTTACATAGTGTCATCTAACATTACTTTATCATGTTTCTCTATTTTGAAAGTAACAAATCTTCTGATATTTTAGGCTTTTGCGATACAAAGAAATATTCGATTTAGCTTCCGTGCTGGCGCTCTCGTAAATTTTTTTCGACATTTCGTGGACATCTCACTTCTTCAAGGAGAAAAACAACTTGAGGAGGTGAACGTCCACAGGACGTGTCGGAAAAAAAATCCACGAAGGATACGCACGAATGCGCAAGCCAAAAAACGAGCAGTAAAGAATCTTCATTAAATTTTGTTTCTGTCGCGTGGTGTTTGGGTTATCGATATAGTGTATTTTTTCGTATTTGTGCGACGTTAAATATTATTCAATTAAATTCCACGTTAAAACATACGTTTCTCTTGAACATGGATTCAACCGGAGGAATATATTTCGCACGTTTCGAGTATTAATCGTAAGTAAGTTGATAAGCAGACTTGTTCGCTAGAACATGTCTCGTAAGCAGTTACAAGGCCGAGAAGAGATTTATTTTGGTGTGGTACAACACGTTGTGGTGATAAACAGATCCGGCCGTGAAAGTTGCTCGAAAGTTCGTAGTAACGCGCGGTTCGAGATCAATCATTTCCGACTTTATTAATTTAATCATTCAGCGGAAGTTCGCTCTCCACGTGATAGAAACGTGCGTCGCGGAACTCGCGCTAAACGTAATACCCTCACTTCGATCTGCATATCTCACAGATATCGTTAATTATCTTTAGGCAATATCCGCGAAATCCCCATCGCTTTTATCTCAATTTCTCACCCCGAATATACGGTTTAAATTCGTTACGGGGATGGAAAAAAAATAAGAACGCTACGCGATGCGACACAGGAATGTTTTGATAACTTTTAATCTTCCGGAGTGTGGAGATTGTCACATAACGCGAATGCTCGAGCGGCTTTATGAGAAACAATGTACTTCGATCAACTGGCGATCAAACAGTTCGGCACCACGTGTAATCGACCGGCGACATGTGTGCACACATGTGACGGCGAAGTGGAACGCGAACCAGCATTGAGTCACGCGCGCCAATTTCCCAGAGAAACCGCGCGTCCCCCCATCATCTTACCGTGTATGTTCAGATACACCACTCGATTGTTCCGAATTTTCATCACAATAGCCATCGTGTCGGCTGTGAGGATCCGAGCGTCACGGGCACTCGGCGAAAACGCCTTGCTGACGGTCGCGCGGGACGATATTGACGTCGTGATAGCGTTTCGAGAAGAGAGCGGGCAGGCGTCTAGAAAATAGTTTCTTGCGCGCACCAAACGTGCGAGAGCCCCGGCAAAATGCGACGAAGCCGACAAACAAAACAAACGGTGCCGTGGTCGCCGATCGGCGCGCGAGTTGCACCATCATCGGATGCGCCGGCGCATCATCAACCACCGGCGAAAATCGCCTAAGTCTCCCGCGTACGCAACTACTAATCAGTCGAAATGAAATTTTCCGCGACGTAACGCGTACTACAGTCAACGGGAATCAATTAGATCCGCGCGGCACACAGCACGTGGTGTGCCTTCGCGGTGTATATCGACGGTGTATACACACACACCACACGCGCGCACACACACACAATGTCCAAACCGCACATCCGCGGCGTACACAACGCGCGCACGACTCGATTCTCTCACAACGCGCTGCGCTCGATCACGAAGCGGAGAGAGAAAGAGAGAGAGAGAAAAAGACCGGCGGTTTGCTTCGCGACGACACGCGACGATAAAGACCGGCCGTTCGCAACTTCGAGCGCACACACTTCGAACGCGTTAAACAGGATTGCGATGAATGAGATTCCACGCGACAAAGAAAGCACACGACCGGCGCTCACGAGCTCTGCCGGCGTTGTTTACGATTTTTCGATCGGTCGAGATTCGAGTGCAACTCGAACGAGTGCGTCTCACCGCGGCGAGAGCGTGGAACATGCGTGCGTGCGTGCGTGCGCCCGGCATGCGCGCACACTCCCTTTCGCGCTCGTCGAATTACGGCCGATGCGTCGGAAGCGACAAATGCGCGCTATGACGGACAGAGATCCGCCGCACCGGGCAACGTGATCCAGCGTAACCTTTCGGCGGCGTCCGCGCGGCTCTGCCCGGCCCTTATCTCGTTACACCCTTCGGAATTGTTTCCGCGTCGAGTGCGCGACGCAACGAAACAGCGCATCACAGGCCCCGCTCTCTTTTTGTCCCGCGCCGACGATTCAGATTAGCCGCATGCCCCGACGGTTCATCAGTCACAAAGCGAATTTCACGGATTTTTATTTGTCCCGCGATACCCCGAACGGCTTCCTTTGTGCTGCATTATGCGCCGATCGGCGGAGCACGGAAGGAAAGGAATCGAGGATAACGTCACTCGACTCTCCGTCATTTTGCGTCTCTTTGTTTTCTTTTTTTACCCTTCGATGTTCTAGACGCCCGAAATAAATACTGAATTTTTCGTAATGAGAAAAGACATCCTGAAAATACGTCATTGAGAGAAAAAGAGAAAAAGGAAAGGAGGGAGGGAGGGAAGGCCCTTTGTGCCGCTTGTTACATCCAAAAGATATCAATTACAATTATTGATTTGATTATTCATTACGAAAATATACGCAGGGATATCGTGATACTTATGTCGTATTATATTACAGCAAGTAGTCGAGGGGGGACTTGAAATACGTAATTCAATCGCGTTGAAGTATTCCCCGTTTTATAATTTCGTTTTGAAGTTGTAATTTTATCATTTCTCGGTATACTCTCCCCCAACGCGCGATCGATAGCTCGTCACAGTGTTTCGCGCGTCCTTTTTGCCCGCAATATCGAGCTCGTTATTGACTTTCGACGAAAGAGTAATATTTCAACCGAAAAATCTTTCCAAATAAAAGTTATTATACGGCATGTACAGTCAATCACAACCGGCGGTGAAGCGATTGCCGTGGGGAGCAAGAAAAAAAAAAACAATTAAAAAATGTGGACTGGTACCTGACTGGTTGCACGGTTTTTGAGAAGAATGCGAATATGCGTCTTTCGACGACTGTGTGTGTGTGTGTGTGCGTCGATTAGAATACGTTGCAATATAATTCATAAAGGAACTTTAATGTGTGTGTGTATGTTGTGACAGAAACGTATTGCAGCATGTGCATTCGCCATTTGTCGCGCGCGTCTCGTCCATTCGAGATATTGATAAAAATTTATAACAACTAACGACGTATCTCTAGTGTAGCCATTATGTTACGTGATACACATAAAGACACATGAGAGAAACATAAGACGCGCGAGACACGTGTACGAGACTCGTGTAAACAAAATCTAAAGTCACGCGTAGCAAGTGTTTCACACAAGTCAATAGACATACACAATACACATAGTCGAACAGCGAAGTGTTGCGAGCACAAAGAGTAAACTCGAGCCCGAGTATTCCTTCGCCAGGTTCGGCTTTATATTCGAAGCGGTCCGCATACTCGCACACCGCTTTCGTGTGCTGGTAGATATACTATTACATTTTTATGTTCGAGAAGCAGGTGACCAATCGACAAATTATTCCGCGTTATTCGAAAATCCGTTTTTTCTCATTTTTTTCGACATGGAAAATATCAGTGGGGAAATTCGCGATCATAGGGAAGGGGGACCCAGCCAATTGATCTCGAATGAGGCAAGCCATGCGAATTGAAGTGAGAGTATGGTAGACCGAGGTTATATGACTCCAGGGTGGAATTGCCAAATGTCCGGTTTTTACCCGAACTGAAATATTTAATTTTGTCTTCAATGACGAAATGTATTATATATTAGGTGGTAAACTTAGTTCCTGCGGTTTTTTTGTTTAAAAAACTCATTTATTTCGACATCAAAAGCAAAAAATACATCAATCGAAATATTTTCCCTCGCTAGCTATACATTTTTCCCATCTTTCGGGCAACGCGTAGATTCCGCGACGATAGAACGATTGGTCTTTTGATGCAATCCATTCGTCGATCCATTTTCGCACATCCTCGTAATTTCTGAAG